AAAATGTATTCCAAAGATGGATTGTAGAGTATGTTGTAAACTTTCCAAAATGTCCAAGAACTCTCCAAGATAATTTGTGGTTAGGGAGAATCAAAGAAGAGAAATGGGCATTTTATCACTTTTGTTCATGCCATTTTCACAAAATATCAAGTTGCAAATCTGATTTTGGATGCTTGTACCTTGCATTACAGGTCCTAAACTCATTCTACACTCCATAATTTAATGCTAACTCAGAAGATAAAGGCTTTCTTTTGGCTTTTGGAACATTGTACAAGAGATAATTCCATTAATGGCATAAAGGGCACATTGCTATTTTCATAAAGGCAAGCTTTTGTAACTTTATCAACCTTGAGCCATGGACATGTTATTTTGATACAAACAACTTCCACAGATATCAAACAATGTATACCAACTCTCTGCAGCTAGCAAGCCAGCCAGTACAAGCATGTTTAGTATGGTCACTTCACTTTTCTTCAAAAGCAAGAAAAGTTGCAAAAGTCCAAAGGCTTGCACATCTGATAAAGAGTGGACTTTGTATCCATTCTATACATATCCATAAACTTGTCACAACTCAGGACACGAATGGATTGCATCCAAAACTCTCCCAAACACAAAAAACATCATTTTTCTGCCCAAACATTGCCGTTCTGCAAAATCATTGCCAACTTCATTTTGGCTCGTGCGTTTTCCCTTTTAACACTTGAAACATCTTATCCACATAATATCAAAGCTATCCAAGCCCTTGTCCTGGTACTGTAAGCTCTGTTTCAGCCACTGCCATTTTCAAATTTGGAGGTTGCAGCTTGACTTCTACAGAGACTTTTGGCCATCCACAAAGCAAGCTAGGCATTGGAATAGCTTGAAGGAACTTCAAGGAAGCTCACACGATCCTCAGGCCTCACTCAAAGTCCCCACATTGTCATATCCAAATCCAGCTGAAGGAGGTATTTTTCAAATCTCTATCTCTCTATTTAGAAATCCTCAAGCTACGATTTGTGAAGGAAAAATATAGCCCTAATCTTGGTGAAGCTGTACATATGCATACTTGTCATTTATATTAACTGTGCCATGAGAATTTGAAGGTTGAAGTTCATGAAATATTTAGGTCACGATTTAGGGCCATTAAAATTCTCCTTGATCTTTGAGAGTTAGGTTACAAATTTTATATCATTGGAATCGTGAGATTAAATGCTATAAGTTTCATGTTATGGGTTTTTGTTTTTATGCAAGCATCTGAGAGTTACAGATTTTGAAGAAAAACGCGCGCAAGGAGAAGAAGCTGGAGGACAGGGATGAAGCTCTGGGCCTTGGCGCCTTGGGCTTGTTGTTTTTTATTTTTGCACCCCCCGGACCACTATTTGCACCCCCTGACTTTATTTGTTATATTTTTCATATTTTCTCATATTTTTTTATATTTTTGCTTTTATTTATTTTTCTGAACATTAAAAAATCATAAAAAATAATTTCTTTATTTTTTGCATTTTTATTTTATTTTTCTATTATTTTTTGCATAAAAAAATAGCTTATTGTGATATTATACTTTATTTTATTAAATAAAATTGGTAAATATATTTAAAAATACCATACATTTTTATTATATTATTTATACACATAAAATATCTATTTTCATACATATTTTAATTTTTAATATTTGTACATAATATTATTTATTATTTTTCTTGTACAAAAATGAACAAAACATTAAAATAGAACATATATTTTCTTTAATAAAAAATTAGGGTTTCCCCCTTTCAAAAATAATAATATTATTTTTTCCTTATTTTTAGGGTTTAAATAAACTATTTTCTCATACCTTAAACAAATACAAAGCATTTTTTTCATAAATACATTGCATTGCATATTTAAATATTTGTATATTTATTTATTTGCACAATATTCAATTGGGTTGTAATAGTATTTTTAGGGTTTATTTTATGCAAAATCCCCATTCAAAAACTTGTATCCCCCTCCCATAATAATTGCTGTAATAGCTTAGTTTACATTTACGCAATTTATCGCATTTATACCATATTTAGTAAACTAGGGTTTGTATGACAAGACCAAAAACAAAACAAATAGACAAAACCTAATACAAGACAAATCAAATGCATGAAAAATGACATACTTTGCACACAAGCACCCTTAGGGTTTCACCCACTTGGTTGCCTAAATTAAAATCGCCATGTTACACATGTGAAGTATCTTGGCAAAACAAAACAAAAATAAGATCATAGTCCATCGATGACGCTATCAAAAGGTTGCCTAAACAAAGATGATCTTGGTCCCTCAAAAATGCTAAGATACTTGGCAACATTGCTATCATGGTCATACGATGACCCACGCCCATCCCGTTTAACATCTAAAGATAGGTTTGTTTACCAAGTCAATGGTAAATCAACAATGTCAATGGAATAAAAATGCACAAGAAAGACATTTGAGTAGGTAGACAACTTCTAGTTATTTGATCATTTCAAAACAATCCTTGCTATTTTCAAAAACAAACATACACACATTTCAAAACAACTTTCAAAACATTGAAACATTTTTCAAAAGACCAACATCTTTGTATTTATTCTTACGAACGAGAATCATTACAAAGATTGCCTAAACAAATGCCTTTTTTCAAAATACTTTCAAAACCACACAAAGCACCATTTCAAACAATTTCAAAGCAAAGCAAGTGATCTAAACAAGTAACTAAGAGCCCATGGAAAACCATGTATGAAAAGAGTGCTAGCACCTTCCCTTTTCATAATCTACCCCCCGAACTCAAGAAAATATCTCAAAGGTCTTTCCTGTGTTTTTTTACCTTTCCTTTTGGATAAAAGAAAAGTCGGTGACGACTCTTGCTAACCGCAACATTTGCGAACACAAACGCAAAACCTCGAGTCAGTTCTCCCACCGCATCACAGTCACCATTACAAAAAAAAATCATCCAGAGTGAAAAATTTCCTGCATGCTATAGGTTAAACCCGAGTTTTCTGTTATCCCAATGTATGCCTTCTTGAATCTAGCCAAGTCCTCATTATTCAAATCGAATCTCAAATGAATAATTTGATGTGTTCCATATCCCACCTTCTGATAAAGATTCTTGCTAGAGGTAGCTTTCACATACGTTCTGCATGAGCCTTCTGCTTTCCTACCCTCCTCGTATGATCTTCTTCCCCTTATACAAGAATCCTTGGACCCATTCACCATCTTACCTTTCACCCTTACTTCGTGCCTCGCCTCCTCCGAAATCTTCTTAACATACCCATGGCTTTGAAACTTTGGTATGTTTGCAAACAACTTAAGGCCACCAATAAACAAGTTATCAAGTTTATTTGACATATTCTTTCATCTTTAACTTTGAAAAAATGAATGAAACCGTATTTCTTTCCTCTCTTATCTCTCTTCGACAGAAGGATCACTTCATCTAAGTCTCCTAACTCTGCAAAAACTCTATACAGATCCTTTGTCCTAAGTTTCTCATTGAATTCAGTAAAAAAGAACATAAACATTTCTGATCTTTCCTTCTTCATATCTCTTTTTCTAAATCCCATCTCCCAGCCCTCCTTCCAGCAGTTTTATGATGATTTACTGTGGTCCACTCTCCGTGATGATCTCCCTTGCTTGGATCCTCCATGATAAGGAGGAGAAATGAATTCAAACCTAGAGAAAGGTGAGAGTTTGTCTCTACAAACTTAAAGTTTTCCAACACAAGAAGAGCATGTTTACTAAAAATAATAAGGTCCACAGCTGGCCATGCTCCATATAGAATCTCATTTTATATTATATAGAAAAATGAAAAACCAATATGATATTATATTACAACTTTCTAAAAAAACGCATTCAAATTTTTTATCGACCGTAAGATTTTTTGTTTTGTTTTTTTAACACAAAATCATTTTGAAATGTTTTTTTAATGAAAATTATTTGAATGAAATGCTGATAGGAAAATAATGTAAAAATAAAATATTTTAGTAAGTTTTAAAAAATAGGTTAAGATAAACTTTTACTATTTTAGTAAATGATGAATTATATAAATGTTAATCTAACATAAAATTTTTAAAAAAATGTTCAAAATTGAATTTTATCGTTTTAAATTAAAAAAAATCATATTCTCATAAAAAAGAAAAAAAAAGTATTTATTAAAATTACTAAAAATAAATAAAGTCCATTATTTCACTAGATTTATATCAGAGTCCCATTTTTTATTATAGAAAAGTGAAAAACTACTATATTAAAACCTTACATAAACTCTTAAAAAATTATTCAAAAGTTGACTATTATTATTTATAATAAAAAAATCTATAAAAAGAAAAACAATAAAACTATAATATTTTATGAAAATTTACTTAAAAATAATAAGTTCCACAGTTGGACTTGCTCCATATGAAATTCCATTTTATATTATAGAAAATTAAAAACAAATGAATTTAATTGTTATGTAATATTAGTATAAATCAAAGTCAAAGTCAAATATTCTAATTAAATTAACGGTTGTAATTTATTCACATTGTAAAACTAAAATTATTTTAGACCGTTAGTGTATTTCAATTAAATTCAAAATAGATTTACTATTATATTAAAATTTTCTAAATAATGGACATTCAAATTTTTTACCAACCGAAACTACAAAGCGAGATCATTAACATTTTGATTTTGTTTTTTTAACACAACTATGTATGAAATGTTTTTTAATGTCAATTATGAATGAAAATAGGAAAATAATGTAAAAATAAAATATTCGAACATATTCAATATGAGTTCTTATTAATTGGAACGCTTTAAGTACTAATATAGTAGAGACATTAAACCTACATCAAAACTATGAATGGGTGCAATAGACATCCCCTGACAGCAAACTATGAATCAGATATCTTTTTCCTTATTCAAAGATATGTGCATTAACTCAGATATTTAATTTTTCAAAATAAATAACACCTCTTATAAGCCACTCTTATCATCAAATAAAAAAACCAACATAAGGTATAGTTTTGCTACACTTAATTTGTGCCATGGAATCTGAATCCTCTAGCATCTCAGTCACTTCACAAGATCATGGTGATTCTTTCAAAACAAAAAACGTGGTGGACAAGAAGGAGAATGAACAAGGTCAATATTCAAAATCCGATTCCAGCGCGCCTAATATTTTTAGCCTTATTCAAGTTGGTGGTTCTTCATGTGATTCACCTAATACCAACAATGAAAAGAAAGACGAGAAAACTACTGAACAAAAGAATTCGGAATCAAAGATATCTTATTCATGCAATTTTTGCACGAGAGAATTTTCCTCTTTACAAGCGTTAGGAGGGCATCAGAACGCTCATAAGGCACAATATGCTTTAAAAAAACAACGTGAACAAATGTACGACACTCATGTTTTAGAGTTAGGACAAACTCACTTGAACTCTTATTTTCGTTACCCTAGTGCTCTTTTTTCACCTTACGGATCACTTGGGGTTAGAATTGATTCAATGATTCAAAAACCACCTTTTTTAAGCCCTAGGATTACACCAAATAATTTTGCTTATGATCATGGTGGTTTGTGTTTGCAAGAGACATTAAACCCTTCTCTTGTTAGTTTGAGAAATAATATGGAAGGTAGTAGTAGGGTTGGAATTCTAGGTCTTGGTGGTGCAACTTCTTCAAGGGTTGAAAATAGTGTAAATAATAAAATTGGTACTTTTCTAAAATTTGGAGATTCTTCTAAAAATGTTGCCACGAGTTCAAATTCAATCATAGACAAGAATTTTTTTGTGGCTCCTGCTTCTATCAAAGATGAAATTCGTCAACCAAAGTTCAACTTTGAAGAAGAATCTTCCAATTCTGAATCTTCTGGGCTTGATTTGACACTTAAGCTTTGAATAAGTTTCTATATTTTGTTTCCATATTTTGATTGCTATGCTCTCTTTAGTTGAAGTTTTTCTTTTTGTTGTGGCCTTCAGGTATTATTGTCATGTGTTAATTTTTGTGGTATGTAAGTCAAGCTCAAGAGTTATTAATTTAATGTAATTTAACTACTTTGATTAATTAGCTTATTTTTCTTAATCATATTAATGTTGTATAATTTGTTTGCAAGAGGTATTTAAAAACCGAACTTGAACAATTGTGATATTTAAAATTAAAACAGAACTGTTTGTATTATCATTTTCTGAAATTTATGGCGGCATGTTTGCAAACTATCCAGAAATAAGAAATCACTTTCCCAAACAATTTATTTTAAAAAAAACTCATTATTTATCCTTTTTTTTAATCATTAAGTATGGAATTCAATAATTCAAAATTTATAACAGTCATATTTTTTATACTAATCACTTATGTTACGCATGTATTTAAGAGAGTAATTATTATGCACGGTTAGGGTAAAGAGTTTTACACATAAATTTAAGATAGAGCAAGAAGTCTTTTCAAGATTTAGGAAATCATACGTAAATGGAGAATTCTGGGAATGTCTTACAACATACATGAAGCATTGACCATTAAGGGTTACTTCTTAATCAAAGCCACTTCGTTAGGAGCAAATATGTGTTTATTAGAAGAAATGGAGGATGGAGAATTAAGAGACTTTGGTGGCAAAAGAGAAAGATTGGTTGGGACAATGGTTCAGGGAGATCAGAAAAATGGAGTCCTGAAGTTGTTGACAATGAGAGAGTCATTTGGTTGAGTTGATATGGCATTCCTTGTCATGCTTGAAGCCCTAAGTTTTTTGAATTCTTATCGTTTCCATTTGGTATTTGCTAAGACGAATAAACAAGCAACCAATCCAAATTTTACGTGGCGGGAATTGTTGTCCATACCAAATACAAACTTGATCTTCAAAATGTTCAATATGAGGGTAAACGGTGTAACGTTTAGGGTCAAGTTAGTGGAGTACTCACGGGGTCCTTTGAGAATAGTGTTGCTAAAATCATACGTAAATAAAGTTGTTCAAGGATCTTCAGAATTTGAGTCTGTATTGAGGGATGATTTTGATGAATGGTTCAGCGAAGAGGTTGAGGAGGAAGGTGTTTATGAAGGATATTTTGTGGGATGTTCCCTTGGGGAAGACGGGTTGGAAGATCAGGGCTAAACGTAAGAGGTAAAAAGGCTATGATTGTCTTCAATTATAAAGTTGAAGCTACACTGGAGGGAAATGTTGTGAAAAATCAAAGATTAAAGGAATCAGTCATAACACACATGGTGCAACATCAAGATGGATCTATCGGATGATTACCATCAGTCAAAAGTTGATGGTTTTCGTGTACGCAGAAATTTGTTGTGTCAGGATGTGGCGAATGAGGGTTATGTTTGTATGGAAGTAGGTAGATGGGTTTTCAAATACACACATAATCAGCATGTGGTCTAGGGCACCAAAGACTCAAAAGTCAAGTGAGGTGTGTTGCAACTGATTTTTTAATCAAAGTCGTCACCCTTAATTTTTATCCTAAGGAAAGGAGTATAAATGAATAATCCTAAAAGTCACAGAGATTCTAGTTGACTCGGTTTTAGACGAAGGAAAGGTGTTAGACACCCCTCATCTACCTTGTTCACAATGATACTAGGGTTAGAAGCGCATTTTTAGGAAAAAGCGTTTTAATATTAATTAGGGGAAAAAGGGTTTTAATTTTTAATAGGGGAACATGCCACGATTTTAATCGTATGTCTACGTATCATCTTAGGAGGAATCAGAGTCTCCTTTCGAAGTTCGCAGTTGGTTGGTGTTTTTTATGGATTATGCAGATATTTGATTCTCCTCGTACTTAGCCCGGGTGTGTGAATAACGAAGATTTTGGATCAAATGTGCAGTTAATCAAAATATGCTTCGTAACTCTTTTTGAAAATTAATTTTTAAATTAATTTATTTATGAAAAATTATTTGGTGTTGGTTAATTGTTTTTTATATATTAATTATAAAAAATCTTATTTAAATGCATGATAAAAGATATTTTAATGTAAAAAGGTAAAATATATTTGAATGAGTTAAAAAAATGATATTTGATTCGATAATACTTAATATAATACTAAAGTTATAAAAATAGGAATTATATAATATAAAAATTATAAAGTAAGAAGAAAATAAAACGCAAGGGGGTGTTAATTAGGTTGAGGTGGTAAAATAGGAGGTGCTAACAAGAGCATGAATTCAGATATTGAATTCAAGCCCAAAAGGCGGAAGATGTGGTTTTTTGTTCACACAGTAAAAAAGGGGTGTATAAGAAATATGACCCAAGTTCAGATATTAAACTGAGCCCAATAGGTTGAGGGTTGTAATATCTTTGTAAAATATTAATTTAATCATGAAATTGTTTAGATTTATGTATAAGATTAATGATTTGAATTATTAAATTGATTGAAAAATTCCAACAATTATGTATAAGGAATATTTTTGTTATTCTCGACTTTTCACTTAACTTAATAATAAAACTAACATATTTTTGTATTTTTTTATTAAAAAGCGACAAACAAAAACAAGAGAAACAAAACCCTTAAAAAAATTTAGCACAAAGAAAAAACATGTATGAAAGTTGTTATTTTATTTGCAAAGTGAACATGTTTCTACGTGACCCAAATTATATATATATATATATATATATATATATATATATATATATATATATATATATATATATATATATATATATATATATATATATATTACAAATTATAATAGATATTGAAATTTTATTTTATTAATTAAATTGAAAAAGAATAAACGTCAAGACAACAAACATGGAGATTTTAAACAAGCAATGAATCCCAACAATAAAACACTCATTATAAATAAAATATAAAAAGTTCAAGAAATTTTACGATGGAGGTTTTTAAGAGAGACCAACCTACGGGAGCGAGGATTCTCTCGGTGAGCAAATGATAGAAATTTTTTCTTTCCTTCGTCGTTCTCCTCTTTTTTCCTTTGGGACGAGATCCCCCTTAGATAGATGTTGGAGACAACAACAAGGTTTTAAAAAATTGTTTATAGAAAAATTTTAGGTGTTATGTTCAAAACCCTAAAATAAGTGTTTGTTGATGGAGACTTCAGGGTTTCTTTGTTGTTGTTCTTCGATGTGAAGAACAATAATTTTAGGAGAACTTAGTGAATTATGGATGATCATGAAATTGTGGATATTTCTTGATCTCCTCGAAGTGTGAAAATATGGTCTTATTTATAGACTGTTAAAATCAGGTTAAAGGGAATAAAATAAATCAGATCTTTCTTGCTTAACAAGTTGACCAATCAGAAGCTGAGTATGACAGAAATTGACGCAGATTAACCAATAAGAAACAATTATCTCGAAAAGGAAATATTTTTTGTATTTATTATGATTTTTGCACTCAATTTTGATGAAAAGTACATAAAATCAAATAAATAATTATTTATTAAAAATACCATAATTAAAAATACGAAAATAATATTTAAATAATAAAAAAACATGATTTTTGTGATTTTGAAAATAATTAGAAAATAGTTAGTAACAAAAAATATCCAAAGTGCATCAATTGATATTGATCTCTTTTTGGCATAATTTTGAAGATTTGAAATTGATTGAATCATAATTTGATGAACAAGATTATGAATCTAGCCTTGTTTAGGACAATTTCAAATATTTAGATTGATTTGAAAAGATTAATTTATAAGATATTTATTGATTTTCATAATAATTAAACACGAAAATAGTAATTCATAATAATTAAACACGAAAATAGTAAATTAATAATTAAAAAATATGATTTTTGTGGTTAGAAATAATTGAAAATGAAAATAAAGTTAGTAACAATAAACAGCGAAAATACCCAAACTGCATCAAGTGAGATTCGAACTTGTGACATTCTACTTTCAAGTCTTTCTCTCTTACCAACTGAGTTATGTTACTTAATTGAAATAAAATGTCAATTGAAGTAGTTTGCTATTTTTAAAAATACAAATAATTATTATATTTTTAAACAGACTTGAAAGCGAATATTTATTAAAAGCCCCAAAATGTTAATGTAATTAAGCCAAAGGAATCTTGTACTATGTAAAACCAAAGTTCGAAAATAAATTTGGTGGTAGCACTAAAGCGGATAAATTTTGGGTATGGCAGCTGCCCCTATTTAATAGCTCTTCGATTTAATGACGCGAGAATGCGTAGGTCTTTATTCATTCAAATCGGAGATTTATTAAATAATAGAAGACCCCAAAATTTTACCAATGGTTGGCTAGATAGGGTTATACTGATATAGCATACCCTTAAGAGTTGGCTAGATGAGGTTACGCTAATATAACATACCCCTAAGAGTTTTGAAGAAAATATGCAAAGATGATGATGTATCACTTTACCAGAGTTTGAACCAAAGTTTTAGGCAAAGACGATTATGTATCGTCCTTCCAGAGTTTGAATACATATATATGATTGAAGAGTAAGATTGATCTAGACATGATGATGCGGATAATTCGTCAATGCCTAGAAAAGAGATTGTTGTAGAATTTTCCATAACCTAGGAGGTAAATGATTCACGTTTGAAAAAGCTGACTTACTAATGCTTGGAGACTAACATAGTAAGTTTTGATTTGATTCGATTTTGTCGATTCATCACAACCTAGGGGATGAATAAAACAAAGTTTGATAACACACTGCTGCCTAGATACTGATGTAGTGGATTACGCAGATTTATTTTGCATATCTATCACAACATGAGGGATAGATAATTGAATAACCTTGACAACTACATCGATGCGTGCAGACTGAGGCGATGAGTTATACTGCGGATTTTGCACTTTACTGCATGTAGTCTTAGGTAATGAGCTATATTGTAGGGAAGAACACATTGTTGCATGGAGTCTTAGACGATGGGTTAAATTCATATTTCGAACATTGTTGCATGGAGTCTTAGGCAATGGGTTAAA